GTTAGGGTTAGGATAGGAGCTGTGGGGGGTAGAGGTACGGGTTAGGGTTAGGATAGGAGCTGTGGGGGGTAGAGGTACGGGTTAGGGTTAGAAACGATTAAGAACCAGATCGGTTTACTTGGGCAAATGCAACGTTAATTATTTAGAAATGTGGCAGACGTATGATGAAGGAGATGCCTGTTATTAGGTTATTAGCCTTTTAAAAGCCAGATGTCCAAAGTCTCTGTCCTTTCTCAGATAAACCTGATCTGAATGCCCAGGTAGAGCAGGAGATTATATCTGTATACTTTGGCAAACTGTTGAACGCAAAACCAACCAAAAAGAAAACACGAATGGATAAAAAACCCGATAAATAAATAGATTTTAACAAACCGACTAGACCAGTGGTTTTCAACCTTTTTTGAGCCAAAGTACATTTTTTCATTGAAAAAATCTCGTGGCACACCACCAACCAAAAATGTAAAAACAAATCTGTATCCCCCTATAGTAACACTATAGTTATTCTTATTTTATTCTTATCTTATCTTAAGTGTCTTGAATAGGAATCAAATAAACACAGAAATGTATTTTTATCATACTTTATATTTCTTCTTTCAAATTGCTCTTAACATGTCCACTTCAATATACAAAATTATATATAAAATCTAGTCATAAGGAGTTATTACATGATTACTCCACCAGTCACTAGAACAGCACAGACACTCAGAAATGATTTGCAGATAATTAATTCCTTATCAAAAAATCTTTTTAGACCAATGAGGTGAAATAGGATGATTTGCTACGGCACACTAGTGTACCGAGGACCAGGGGTTGAAAAACACTGGACTAGACGATCAAAATGATACAATAAACTCTCATTATTGTAAAAGGGTTTTTTCAGTAAAGTAGCGTTAAAATGTAAGTATTTGATCTGGAGCCATAAGAAGAAGTCGTACCTGTGCGATTGCTCCAATGTCTTCCAGGCAAACATAAAGTCCAGTTGGACTTTTCTTATTTATACAACACTGTGTTCCCTTTATACAGGGCGGGGCCAAAAAATAACCTATTCAAAACTGCATGACTCCTGCTGCCATAAAGTTGTCACACCTTGGACAGTAAAAAAAAAAACTTTCTGTACTGAGACATGATGAAGTCACCTCTCCTTTGAGAAATGATTAGATTTGAGTATTTGCTTTCAAAGGTTAAGAGAAAAAGGTGGGTCAGGTTATGACTGGATGGCCTACATGGCTCGATTCTTCAGAACAACAAGGACGTTACACAGTAATAACTCAATGTAATTTCCTTGTTTTATTGGATTTCTAGACAAAGTCTCTAACTGTTCCTGACAACCCTAAAAACAAAATAGGTTCATCAAACTTCACAAGCTCTCTGTGTTTACTACCATAGTTTTCTGGTAACTGTGTGAAGGAAAACTTATTTTCAATACATCCACGTTAGGCAAAATCTATTTTTTTTATGCCTCAAATGCCCCATTTTAAGTTTTACAGACTACTG